CACCATAGTAACCATTCAGAGAAACTGACTGTCACCACAGTTCCCCACCATAGTAACCATTCAGAGAAACTGACTGTCACCACAGTTCCCCACCATAGTAGCCACTAAAAGATACTCACTTGACAAAAGTACCTCTACCCATTCAATCTTATAAACACTTAATCTGACATGTAGTATTGGATTTTTGTTTCTTTCAATAACTTTTGAACTATCTTTTCAGTTTCTAGCTTTCCAGATTTTTTCCTTTCAATTTTCAAACCCATACTTTCAAGATTCAGCTTGAGCACTAAGCGCCTATCCTTTTCGGCATTTGGTGAAAGTGGGTTTTTATCTGAGTGCTCCCATTCTCCTCCCCCACATCAGATTTTCAGATCCCTGCCACCCTGTTTAGTTGTTCCATCTTGTCTAATTTTCACTGCTCCCCATGGGATCTGCCTATTCACCTATTATTCCCCAGATGCCTACATACCTCTAACACTCGTAAGGGAGTGGAAATTCCAACTACCCTGGAATGGACTTCAAACCCCTAAATAACTACCACGTACGAGTGTTTGTTTGTTTGTAATTAAGCACAATGCTATACAATGGGCTATCTGTACTCTGCCAACAACAGAAAGCGGTGTTACTGTAAATATACTGATGTACAAAATCACAGATTAAATGTATATTTGGTATAACGCCTTTCCTCGTTAAGTGTTTTTTAATGTTTGAGTAACTGGAAAAAAAAAAAATGTAAAATCTGATCACGAAAAAAAAAACATTCATATAAATTTTAACTCAAAACATAATTAGGTATTTGTAGTACCAAATATATGGATGATTCCAGAACATATTTATAAATAATACTAATAATCACGAACTGTAATAAACATTTAAACAAATCATTAAATTATTTCATCTGACACTTCAATAAAATGTAACAACAGTTTACACAATTCATCATAAACAAGTTACAACAAAAACATTACTGAATTAACTGAATAAACCACAAGTTATAAAATCAACAAAAGATAAAAAAGTGAATTTGATTCACAAGAAGCTTTTATTTCTAGGAAATAATATACAAAAAGTCATAAAAGTCATTCCAGTGGCTGGAAGTCTGATAAATACCTGTTCAAGCCGTAATGTTTCAAGGCATACTTAGCAGCTATAGCCACGTTATTAAAGTAACAGAAGCCACATGCCTTGTGTTCCATTGCATGATGTCCTGGAGGTCTGGAATGTGGAAAACAAAATTAAAATCAACCATTCACTGCTGGACAATTTTAACCATACATATTTATTAACCCTTGTCAATAAATACCTTCTTAATGTATTTAATACAACGTTTAGGGACAACATGGGACCCATTGGCCCATCTCGGCTGTTCCATCCTCTAAACTAAAACTATTAATAAAAACGTTTAAAAATAAATGCCTCCGTCATAGATTTAACATAACATCGAGATTGATCGACTCAAAGAAAAGAAATGTTTCTACAATTAAAGAGATATTATGATTACTAAGTATTACTCTAAGTAGAGAGTTTTAAATAAAATGGAAGCCAGCAGCTAATCACGTCAATCTAAATGTGTTTTGTTTAACTGTTTGAATAAAGAATATATTTTAAACTAAAATAAGTCTAATTTTTATGCTTCTAGTACTTGATAAATATATTCATAATGTAATTACAAAGTACCACTACTGTCATGAAGGTTTTGGCATGATTCAACTCTAGCTAATAAAGAGGGCAGGTAATATATGCCAATAAACACTTGTACATCACTTTTTATTCTTCCATTATTTGTTCATAGCTGACATAAATTTTTGTTTTATTATTTTTATTTTCCCAGTTTCACAACGAGGAAGTTAAATTTTAGGGCCTTTCGAGACATAGGAGAGCAAAATTATATGTGTGAACAATCTTCAAAGGAGAAGAATGAAATATACTTATTGCGTATAACATTTAACCAGTTTATTCAAGTCTAAAATAATGCACAAGAGCGAATATCCCAAAGTTGTATCAAACACTTCAAGGACAAAAGAACATTGTTTGTTTTCTGATTTAAAACCTCATTAAAAATAGGTTTTGAATATGAGAACAAAAAAACTCTCAAACATTACACAATGACACAAAATGTTTCAAAACATTTTGAAAATTTGGTTACTTCCCTCCTCCCCCTTTGGCGGACAGATTATTCAAAACTTTTATGAACTCAATAGTGATATTTAATTAACTTAGGAAAGAGAAATGGATAGTCACCTAATTATTGCCATTCCATTCTGTACCTAAAACACAAAAAAGACAATTCTTAATATATTTATTATCTATACAAAGTTAAACAATGTGTAATTCATTTTCTAAAACTCAAGTTTCTACTTTCTCCAAATTAAAATCATTCTTATACTTTGATTCTGGACTTTTTTCTCTGTAATATCACATTCTTATACTTTGATTCTGGACTTTTTTCTCTGTAATATCACATTCTAATACTTTGATTCTGGACTTTTTTCTCTGCAATATATCACATTCTTATACTTGGATTCTGGACTTTTTCTCTGTAATATCACATTCTTATACTCTGATTCTGAACTGTTTTCTCCGTAATATCACATTCTTATACTTTGATTCTGGACTTTTTTCTCTGTAATATAACATTCTTATACTTTGATTCTGGACTTTTTTCTCTGTAATATAACATTCTTATACTTTGATTCTGGACTTTTTTCTCTGTAATATCACATTCTTATGTTTTGATTCTGAACTGTTTTCTCTGTAATATCACATTCTTATACTTTGATTCTGGACTTTTTTCTCTGTAATATCACATTCTAATACTTTGATTCTGGACTTTTTTCTCCGTAATATCACATTCTTATACTTTGATTCTGAACTTTTTTCTCTGTAATATCACATTCTAATACTTTGATTCTGGACTTTTTTCTCTGTAATATCACATTCTTATACTTTTATTCTGAACTGTTTTCTCTGTAATATTACATTATTATACTTTGATTCTGGACTTTTTCTCTGTAATATCACAAGCATATGAATGAGTGTTAAGAATATAAAGTGGTGTTGCACCCTGAGTAATCAAGAAAATAAAACAATAACTTATTTTATTCTTTCATGGTGTGAGAAAGAATGTATGGTTGAAAAAATCAAACACACACACACACAAAAAAGAAACTTATAGCACAAACACTTTCCAACTACAGATTACTCAACCTGTTGGTAAGAATGAACAAACAAACCAGTCATATCATTATGAAGAGAACCCTAAGAGGTGTGAATATTATTTAAAGGAAAGAAAGCCTATCACAGATCCAGTCACATCTGAACATAAATAGTCTGAATATTCTTTACAATGAAGTAGTCTGACACAGATCGAGCCTAATGTAAGAACAAGAAAATCCTACCAAGTTTTAAATTAATTTCAAGAGGTATAAATACTGTTTGTTATAAAAAAAGCAGTGAAGTGATAATATTTGTAGTTTTAATTTCATACACTGTTTTACGGCTGAGTAGGCCATAACTGACTTAAGCATTTGTAACAGTTGCTGTGTGCTGTGTTGCTTAAAGAAATAAAACTTCAACACAATTTTCCATTTAAAGTTACTTTGTTAAACAATATCGGTAACTTTAAATGGAAAAGTGTGTTAAATTATATTGTTTAACAAATTCAACACACTTTTCTATTTAAAGTTACGATATTGTTTAACAAATTTAACACACTTTTCCATTTAAAGTTACGATATTGTTTAACAAATTTAACACACTTTTCCATTTAAAGTTACGATATTGTTTAACAAATTTAACACACATTTCCATTTAAAGTTATGATATTGTTTAACACATTTAACACACTTTTCCATTTAAAGCTACAATATTGTTTAACACACATTTCCATTTAAAGTTACGATATTGTTTAAGAAACTTAACACACTTTTCCATTTAAAGTTACAATATTGTTTAACAAATTTAACACACTTTTCCATTTAAAGTTACAATATTGTTTAACAAATTTAACACACTTTTCCATTTAAAGTTACGATATTGTTTAACAAATTTAACACACTTTTCCATTTAAAGTTACGATATTGTTTAACAAATTTAACACACTTTTCTATTTAAAGTTACTATATTGTTTAACAAATTTAACACACTTTTCCATTTAAAGATATGATATTGTTTAACAAATTCAACACACTTTTCCATTTAAAGTTACTATATTGTTTAACAAATTTAACACACTTTTCCATTTAAAGTTACGATATTGTTTAACAAATTTAACACACTTTTCCATTTAAAGTTACGATATTGTTTAACAAATTTAACACACTTTTCCATTTAAAGTTACCATATTGTTTAACAAATTTTTAATCAACAAAGAAATAGCTGTAGTACCTTGTTATCCAAAACATTAGTTACCAAATCCACAGCACAGCCAACGGCCAAACATGCTATTTCATAGGATCTCTAGAAGATACAAAAGATGATATCTACACTGTGGAAATCAAAGTAACTCACAAAGTTTAAAATGTTTATAAAGTACTGAAATAGATTATTTATATTATTTAAAAAAAAACATTTCCTTACTTTGAAAAATCTGAATATTCGTATATTTTTATATTTTAAAAAACTGAGCTTTGAACTTGATGCTTAATTACGAACACGACGTAAACCAAAACATTTTTCTTAAATATTCATAAATCATATAAAAACCAGATAGCTAAAATTTATCCTACATTTCAGCTTCAGTTGATAACCTCCGCTGGCAGGTATGCAAGACTTGTATGTTGATTGTGGGTAATAACATTCTAATTAACCTTATGTTTTCTACAAAACGTCCGAGTCTTCTTCATAAATACACACCTCTCTTCACAAAAGCTTACTTAGTGGATACAATATATCCATGTGAAATCTTAGCTATTCAGCCATTACAGAAAATTAGTGTATGACAGTTGTTTACAGTTCTAAAACTTGACTTACATTAAAACTTATCAACCGTTTCAGAATATTCTAGTTTATGTGCTCAGTAGTGGAGCTGAATCAGAAACTGAAAAATAAAGCACTGATGAGATGTAAAGGTGTTGTTCGTTTTGATTTTTAGCACAAATCACAACAATGGGCTACCTACAGTTTGTCCACCACAGGGATTGAACCTAAATTGTAGAAGTATAAGTCATTTCTTTAACACAGAGCCGTGAGGGACATTTACACAGGAGACTTTAATCTTCATTTTCCTTTCCTCACTCTTCTGTCATGTCAAAGCTCAGGATCCATTTTCAAACACTGAATTAGCATCCTTTAAATGTTATTTTTACATGACCTGTGTAAGTTTTACTACATTCACGGGTACAACCTGTGTAAGTTTTACTACATTCACGGGTACAACCTGTGTAAGTTTTACTACATTCACGGGTACAACCTGTGTAAGTTTTACTACATTCACGGGTACAACCTGTGTAAGTTTTACTACATTCACGGGTACAACCTGTGT